GGCTGGGGCTGGGACTGGGGCTGGGGCTGGGGCTGCGGTGCCAGCGGCATGGCTGGCTTCCCCTGTCGTGGCGGCGGCCGCCTTGGTCTCCTCGTCGTAGATATTGAGTTTCTCTTCCGCAGCTTCCGCCAGTTCTTCCTCCTCCATTTGCTGCATGGTGATGTCCATGGTTGCGGTCAGGTCCTTCATCAACGAGATTTCACCGATCAGATCGACAAACGCGCTGCCACCGAAGATCATGCTGAAGAACTCGGCCGGATCCTCTTCATCGCCTATCAGTATGGTTCAACGGCTCGATCACAGATGAACAACTCACCGAAACCGCCGCCCGGAACTGCATCTTCCTTTCCATATTTATCATAACGTTTTCGTAGCTCCTCATTGCTGAGAACTTGGTAGGCTTCTCCAATCTGATCGTACCAAGAGAGATTAGTATTATGCTTCCATATCTTCAAGCATACATACCGCCTGGAATCTCGCATGCGCAGTCTCATCGCCAGGATTCTTATCTAGTTGAGAGGTCAGGATCAAAAACAAGAACCCATGAAGACATGAGGAATAATCGCACCAGGATGGGTCACGATGGCCAGTTTCCGATAGGCCTTCTTAATTTCGAGTTCTGTGGCCGTGGGTGGCACGCCAAGGGCATCGTAGTAGGTAGTGTCTGCGACCATGATGACTTGCCGTCAATCAAGCCAGAGATGTGGTATGGTCCGTCCCCAAGGTCGCAAGCGTTGATAAGTTCAAGAGAAAATCAAGAGTTAAGCAGATCGTAAGACCTGCCAGACTAGTTGGCTGACCGAGGACAATAATAATTTTCTCTGCCTGATGAGTGCTCTCCGACAGCAGTTTCGTCATGGCGGGGGGAAGCAAAGCATCTGTCGGCCAAGGCCGCAGCCATGTATTTTATGTAAGGTACTGTCACAATTACCACCAGCCACACCAGGCAGAGGAGTAAAGAATGGGAAAACAATACTAAACTGGATGTCGAGAGGCGTAATACACGCGTAATGGTAGGAGCCTGCTGTGGATATGGTCTTTTCCCATGAATTTCCCCTTGACAGCCTCAGCCTCAGCCTCAGCCTCAGCCACTTCTTGTATTTGAACCATCCATCACTTCCGTTCTCTTTGTTCCCCCTTTTCGATATAATAACCTCCCATGATCCATCTCTCTCTTCTCTTCCCTCCTTGGTTTCACCCTCCCCTCCACTACTTTCCCTGTCTGTGAGATCCGTTTCCTCTTTCCTCTTTCCTCTTTTCTTTTTCCTCACTGCTCCTTTTTGTACATCTGTACACTACCTACTATCTTCACTGTACTTGTATCAAATCGCACTTGTTGATTCGCTTGTTGCTTTCCCCACATTCCCACTATTTTTTTTCTCTCGCTCAACATCCGTCTTTCCGTCCTCGCCTTTTTCGTTTCTTCCTCTTCCCTACAAATACCTCACCATGGGCGTTGCAGCAAATGCTTTTTACTACATCTTCCATCCCTCAGAATTGAGGTCGATACTTCAATGGTTGGTCTTGGCCTATAGCTTTGAGCACTTCTCCTTACCCTTGGTGTGTATGTGCCATTGCTTACGGACACCCTTTCGTCCTTTCTGATAGGAAGATCTGGCACAATCCTGTTCATGAGCGTGATGAATCGATTGAGTCAGAAACAACAAAGACATGCTTTAAGTTCCTGGATCAGACGAGCCGAAGCTTCAGCGCGGTGATCAAGGAGCTTCACCCAGAGCTCTTGCTTCCCGTGTGCATCTTCTACCTGACACTCCGTGGGCTGGACACCATCGAGGATGACACGTCGATTCCTTTGGAGACCAAGGAACCGCTTCTTCGTGGATTCAAAGATATCCTCGAGCAGGATGGCTGGACCTTCACTGGTAACCGGCCCGAGGAGAAGGACCGTGAGCTGCTGGTTCAGTTTCACAATGTCATCACCGAGTTCAAGAAGATGAAGCCTGCCTACCAGGCCATCATCAAGGATATCACGGACAAGATGGGCAATGGTATGGCTGATTATTGTCGCAAAGCTGCGCTGGACGATGCAAGCGTCAAGACAGTCGAGGATTACGACCTGTACTGCTGGTACGTTGCTGGCCTGGTCGGAGAAGGGTTGACTCGCCTCTTCGTTGAGGCCGAGTTCGGTAACCCGGCCTTGCTCAAGCGTGCCGAGCTGTACAAGTCCATGGGTCTTTTCTTGCAGAAGACCAACATTATTCGCGATATCCGTGAGGATTTCGACGACGGTCGACAGTTCTGGCCCAAAGAAATTTGGTCCAAGCACGTCACCAACTTTGAGGATCTCTTCAAGCCGGAGAATCGCGAGGCTGCACTGAACTGCAGCGCCGAGATGGTTCTCAACGCATTGGAACATGCGGAGGAGTGTCTCTTCTATCTTGCCGGTCTGCGCGAGCAGAGCGTCTTCAACTTTTGCGCCATCCCTCAGTCCATGGCCATTGCTACTCTTTCCCTTTGCTTCCGCAACCCCGCGATTTTTGAACGTAACATCAAAATCAAGAAGGGCGAAGCTTGCCAGTTGATGACGGAGTCGACGCAGAACCTGCGGATCCTCTACGAGGCCTTCCGTAGATACGCTCGTGAGATTCACAAGAAGAACACCCCGAAGGATCCCAATTTCCTCAAGATCGGCATTGCCTGTGCAAAGGTACGTGCCCTCCATTTCATCACCATTCGTTCAAGTTTTAACCGTCGCAGATTGAAAAATTCATCGAGACCATCTTCCCATCGCAATCGGCCGAAGAGGCCAACCGGCGTGTCTTGGGCCAAAAGTCCGAAGCTGAACAGGAGAAGGCCAGACTGGAGGCCGAAACCCGCAAAGATGTCCTCTTTATGATGGCTCTCATGGGCGTGATTGTAGTTTTTGTTTCTATTGTAATGGTATGTCTTATCGCTCCGTTCCAGTGTCATTATTTGCTCACAGCCATCAGATTGGATTCGCTTGGTATTTTGGTGCGCGCTTCGATCTTGCGTGGCAGGAACTCCGCAAGGGGAACTTCCGCCCACCCAAGCACATGCGTGACCGAGAGCTATAGCCTTGTATTTCTACGGAGTTACGACCTTCACCTGTGCAATTTTGATATCCAGATTATTACTAACCCTGCAGACGACTTCTTCTTCGTTTACTTACCATGTCAGTCTTGCAGAGATACTTTTACCTAATGCTACCTTTTAATTTTCTTTCTCTCTCCCGAGTGTCTACCTACGGCTGCTCTAGCTGTTGGTCTAGTCGACCTTGCCTAGCACGGATGTCAAATTGCAATCCAGCCCTTTCATGACTGTGGTTGTGCCGAAGAAGTGCTGATATTGAGTGGAGATTTATCTCTTTGACCAGTGACGTACTAGATGTGTGTCTTGCAATGTTCAGTTTTGCTGAACGTTGAGATGGCATACGTCCATTGAGGATCTGGGACATTCCATTGTAACTAGTATAGTTTTAGCATTCTGAATGTACGTTTCGATGATTATACTTGGTTCTTGTGCCTCTGGCCTCTTGTAAAAGTAGTCTGAGCGGGTTTATCAAGACGCTCTGATCTGGTAACAGTCGCTGTGTCTGTAGCACACTATCTGGATAGTAGGACCTTTTCATTTGTTCCCGCAGTGTGGAATAGATATTTGTCAGGTATTTGTAATGTGCATTACTTGTTTGCCGATGATCCTGATTCGCAGCGTCTTCTTCCATCCCCACCTTCGAGAGATATACAACGCAGGGGAGAAAAGCTCTATTCTACGAGATATATCGACTGCTTCTCGGACACGCGCTCATTTAGATCCTTGACGTCAATGAGAAGGCTTCGAATCATCCAGAGTCCATCTTTTCTCCACCTCCGTCCAGTACGACGTGTTCACAGAGCAATTTTCCCTGTAGCAACCCGGTATCAACCATTCTCAGTAATGGGGCAGAAAAAGCATCAAGCATCCCCGGACTCTAGCAGTCAACCAAATGGAAACAATGAACCGCTACCCCCGCTCTCACCGAAAGACTTCCGCACCTACAACCGAATGGCGGAGCAAATGGACCAATTCGTACGCCCCCCTACCCTCACCATTCAAACCAACTAACAGCAACAACAGCACAACCACTTCCGCCTAACCTGGAACCAACTCCAAGACGCCTGCACCAGCACAGGCAAAAGACCCGGCGGGCTCTCCCCGCGCCAACTCATCATGGCCGGGCTCAGCTTCTGTTCGCAGCTCGACTTCCACCACTCCATCGAAGAGCAGCATATCTTCCCCGTGCTCGCGAAACGGATGCCCGAGTTCCGTCGCGAGCTGGCGCTCCTCACGCAGCACAGGCAGATCCACAAGGGTCTGGAGAAGCTGGAGGGGTATCTGACGAAATGCCGGAGCGGCGAGGTTGATCTGCAGCGGGAGGAGATGAAGCGGCTCATGGATGGGTTTGGGGAGGTGCTGTGGAGGCATTTGGATGAGGAGGTGAGGACGCTGGGGGCGGAGAATATGCGGAGGTACTGGGGTTTACAGGAGGTGGCGGGGCTTCCTATGTGATTTCTGGTTTCGGTTTACGGGTTTATAAGTGGATGTTCGTGTTGGCTGTTTTGGCGGGCTGTGTTGTGGTAAGTTTCTGGCGGTGATTTTGATAGACGGCTAAATGTATTTAGATCAGCATATACAGTGCTCATTCTGCAATCAACAATTTTGATTGGCAATTGTGCTTTTCTGATCTCGTCAGCGGAATGTGTTCGAAAGTCGAAACTTGCATTATTCGATTATCATCCAGGTCATCTCGATGTGTGTTTGGGAGCATCCCTCGATACCTACCGCCGGACATGATGACCGCTACTGATCAGCTTCAGCTTGCAAGAAACACCCCTACTGCGAGGTCTTCTTCAGCCAGGGTACCGAGGACGTCATCCAGTCATGAGAGCGAACTTTATACTTGGCGGAAGTAGAATACCATCGGCCTTGACGCAGGTCTGTCCGTCCCCGGGCGAAGGGCTAATTGGTGGGACGTTTTCGGTCGGCCATCGATATGCACCTTACATTCCTCAGCTAGGGATCGTCCGCCTGATATACAGTACACAGTACACAGTATCGGCCGGGGGCCTGCTTCAGTGTTTGCAAACACCCCTTGCGGCGGGAGGAATGCGGCCAACCCACTTTCAGCGGTTTTGGTACCTGATGTTCTCGTCACTTTACCTGGACTGTCACAAGGCACAGGGCACTTGCATGGCGTCATTGTTGTTGTGAGGATATTCAAGTCTACTGACTATTTGCTTCGGCTGATCGTCCGTCCGCCTGATCGTGGATACTACGTCCATGGAGTGGTGTCAATATACTACGAGAAACGAGGCAGCCCAGGCAATGGATCAAGCCAACGGCAAATATTGACTGTTTACTCTGGCAGCGGACATGCGAGCGCTGATCCAGTCTGACCCATTGCTTGTTGACGCACGCGGATAGAGGCAGATCTTGTTCTGGAGTCTCATCCCGTCCTGGATAGTCGATCATACTTGATTCCGTCAGTGACATGATCATTTGCGAGGGTCAGATAGAGGCTCGGAATGCTTGCGCGTCCTCTTCAGGTCAGTTCCTGGCGAACAGCTCACGAAGGAGTCAGATGAGGTTATTTTCGGCCTGCTGCTCTGGCCCAACCGCATGCGACTCTTTCAGCGAGGGTATTAAAGAGCCAGAACGCCACATCGACGCAGCGGACTACGGCGGGAAAGAGTAGAGTATCGTCTGCCCTCTTCGAGTGACTCCGCCTTATCTTCCCTATACGCCATGAAGCTCTCAACCAGCATCGTCGCTGCGGCCTTGCTGGCCGGCAGTGCCCTGTCCGCCCCAAGCAGCCGTTCCCTGCACCGTATCCGTGCCCGGGCCCTGGCCCGACAATCTCACCCCATGGACGACACCGGCGCTGCCGCCGCCGCGGACCCAAACACAGAGTACCGAACGGCCGCGGCAAACGTCTCCTACAGCAAGAACTGGGCGGGCGCCGTGCGCGAGCAGCCACCCCCGTCGGCAACCTACACCGCGGTGGCGGCGACCATCACCATCCCCGAAGCGACGGCCGTGGCCGGCGTGACGGGCACGCAAGCCAGCTCGGCCTGGGTGGGCATCGACGGCGACACGTACGCGAGCGCGATCCTGCAGGCCGGGGTGGACTTCTACGTCGAGGCGGACGGGACACACAGCTACGACGCGTGGTACGAGTGGTACCCGGACATTGCGTACGACTTCAACCTCGCGGTCAACCGCGGGGACGTCCTCGTCGTCAAGGTGGAGAGCAAATCGCCCAGCCAGGGCGTGGCCATCATCGAGAACCAGACGAGTGGGCAGACGGTGACGAAGACGCTGACGGCGCCGGCGGCGACTGCGACGCTGGCGGGCCAGAATGCGGACTGGATCGTCGAGGACTTCCAGTACGGGGATGGCATGGTGCCGCTGGTTGATTTCAACAGCGTGGTGTTTTCGGGGACGGTGGCGAAGGCTGGCGGGAAGTCATATGGGGTTAGTGATGCGACGATCATCGAGATGGAGCAGAATGGGAAGAGGAGGACGCGGACGACGATCCTGAGCGATTCCAAGCTTGAAGTTGATTACGTCCGGGATTAGCCAGGCCAGTCCCAGCCACAGTCCACGGAGTACGGAGTTCTACGGTTTTTGAGTTTGGCGTATGGCTACCTGTTATATCTATACCTCTTCATTGTCATCATACAGTACAGTCAATATCCACTGTCCACATACCCTGAAACCAAAAATCAAAGCAAAGACCTAGGCCCCCTATACCCCCTCAACGGCATCGGCCCCCAAGCCGGCCGAAACCCAACGCCTCCAGCCCCAGCCCCAGCCCCAGCCTTAGCCTCAGGAACAGGGACAGCACCCGGCAAGACACCGGTAGAACCCTCTCCCTCCTCGACCAAAACAACAGCATCGGCTTGACATGACTCACCCTTACCGGCCTGTGCAGATAACCATCGAACCCACGCCCCCTTACAAAGGCCTCGCGATCCAGACGGACACCATGCGCCCCAACCGCGATGATGGGCGCAGTCCGGAGAACCGGGTTGGAGGCGAACGGCGGCTGGGTGCGGATGATGGATGCTGCGGAGATGCCATCAAGGACTGGCATTTGGAGCTGATTCCTGCGTCAACTTTTGTCTACGATTCTGGGGCGATTTGTTGTGGTGGGCTTGGCTTACGTCCATGAAGATGAGATCTGGGGGAGGGTTTGCTGGGTTGGAGAGGTAGGATAGGGCCTCCTGGCCGTTGAAGACTGTTGCGACGGTGCAGTTGAACCTGGAGAGGAGTTTGGTCATGAGTTTTTGGCTGATGGGGCTGGGGGGGTGGTTAGTTGACTTGGGTTGGATGTGGTGGGAAGGGATGGAACGTACTTGTCGTCGACTGAGAGGATGTGCATTTTGATTGATTCGGCTTGTTGTTGTAGGCTGAGGTGAAGAAAGCTACTTTGATATCAAGATTCAAGGCAAGGTTGATGGTTGATAAATGACGATGAGGCTGAATGATAACTAGTGAGGGGTTGGCATGGTTGATTGGGCGGGTTGCATGTCTTAAAATAGGGAGGATCATTTCTACAGGAGAATTGTCTAGGCTGCAGTTACTGCCTATTAATTAACAGCTTGTCTTGTCTTGATGTCTAGTGTCAACCCTGGCAGCTGGAGGTTTGATAGTGGCTGTATGCAGACAAAGGATAAGACCCACAACAGTGATCTAGGCTTCACATCTACACAGAACCGCGCAAGCAAATCATCAGTGAAAGAATCCAGAATAGCTGATGAAACAGGATATCCGTCACACATCCTCTGGACCGTCCTTCTGTAGGCTAGACGACATATCGAAACCGAGGATTCTATCACCGTCAGCAACTGCTACCCTCAGCTTGCAAGCAACATACCTCGAAATCCGTCAAGTCCGCCAGAACCTGCTCATCTCCAGGCGCGTCAGCGCCCTCAGCGTCTCGCCGCGTATTTCGTCTGATCAACAACACTCGTAAGGCTATAGTGCACGCCATCTGGCCCAGCGCACATGCCAGAATGAGCTTGCATCCGGTCGCGTAGACGGGTGCTTCTTCAGCCAGGAAGGCATGCGGACCGACGATGTTTCCCACGCAGTATGCGAGGAAAACGAGGGCGGTTGCGGTGACTCGTTTGGTGTAGCCGCCTGTGTTGCTCGAGGGCATTTGGAGGCAGAGGACGAGGGAGGTAACATATGACCCGATCTATTTGGTCAGGTAAACTTGGAAAGAAATCCGGTCGACTTACGATGTAGTAGCCAAAGAGGACCCCGTAGCGATTGGTTCGCGGCAGCTGCCAGAGTAGACACACGCCGATCACGGTGGGTATGAGGTAGATGACCATGATGATTGTGCGGATATTCTTGAAGCGCGAGGAGAGGTAGGTCCCTGAAAGAATAAAGAAGACCTGGAACGCTCCTTGTGGAATGCCTAGGGCTGTGGTCAGGAGAGGACTGGAGACCAGTCCTTTGATGATAAGTTTGCCAAACTGCCAAATAATGAGTAGAACTCTTAAACGGCAGAGTGAAGACGTACATTAGCAACACCTCCGTTACTCGTCTCATTGAACAAGACAAAAAGGAACGCGAGCCAGACTTGGGGATCGATGAATGCCTCTCGGATCTGGTACCACTTGATCGAACGGTTGAGAATGCCCTGGAAAGTTTAACTGCACGGATTCTGTACATCGCACACTGAGGCACATACCGTCTGGTTCTGCTTTCCTCTTCCGATAAGCAGTATTTTTTCCTCGATCGTGAATCGCTTGGCGGACAGAATGCTGTTTGGAAGGAAGAGGAGCAAAATGCCTCCCCAGAGCACCGTGACACCGCCACAGATGAGGAACACTGCTCTCCAGACAGGAAACCCATGTAGCTGGCCAATAGCAAACGTTATCAAGCCACCGAGCTTGAGCACAGTCAGATACGCTATCCAAGGCAATCCAGGGAAATGACGGCTCACCATTGATCCAATGCCATTGCAGCAGTAGAAACATCCAGCTCGGAAAGGCTGTTCCTGCCGCAGATACCACATGGCAACGATCATCATGAAGCAGGGAGTAATCGGGGCTAAGACGTCAGCTATTTGCAGCGACTATTCGTGATATAATACCTTCAAAGCAACCGAGGAGAAAGCGGCAGATAGCCATGCCGGTGAAATTGTTGCAGCTGGCCGTTATCATGAGGACTGCTCCCCAGGCGACACTAGCAAAATGTCAGTGCAATGCAAGCAGAGGATTGACATTGAGGAGCCAAGCCTACACAAAACATGAGATTACAGTTCCGACGGGAAGTCGCTGGGCAATAATATTCGCAGGATACTCCCAGAAGAGATAACCTGTATCATCAGCCTGAGGGTGACCGTCAGGGGTGAGGAAGAATACCGAAGTAGAAAATGCTGGCGAGCCAGCTATACTCATTACTATCGATGTGGGCATCTTTGAAAAGATCAAAGACTGCACTGTAGGAGAGGGCCTATAACATTTAGTATTCCCTTTAGACCGCGTACGGGAAACTCACCTGCTTGTCGATATATTGCAAGGCGTATGTACCACAGAGAAGAGGCAGAAGAATCAAATCAACCCGCCTTCTAATCCTCCGAGATTTAACGGGATCATCGAGCATCTCCTGAAGTTGGGAATGTGAAATGCCATGCTCTCGCAGGAAAAGCTCGGCCTCGTCCAGCGAAGAAATGTGACCATTCTCAATGTCCCCCTCCTTGCCGGAGATGGTTGCTAGGATTGTGTCGTTCTTGTCTTCGTCAGTCTTCTTCTTCTCAAGCAGCATTTTGATGAAGTAATGTTCGGATATGCTCTGGCACGCTTACGGAGTCTCGGTTGCTGTCCGCTACGTCTTCCCTGGTACTTATACCAAGCAACCCCGCTTCGAAGTACAGGGGTTGACTGCATGATAACGCCTGTCTCTGAGGTGCAGGAGTCCATGCCAGGAGTTCAGTTGTAACTCTTTCTGCTTTTCAGCTTATTGATACTCGGAATGGAAATCTAGTCGACCGTATGCTGCCTGATACCGATATGGTGGTAATCACCAATGAACGTGATGAACAGGACTGCTGGTAGAAATCGAGACGGACCTTGTCCGCAGCTCTATCTATGGCGTCAAGGTCTCGAAAGAAAGGAATGATTACTCCAACTGATCGACCTCGTATCTTGACCGTTGTTGGAGATGCCGTTGCCGTCAAAGATAAGCCGTGTGGGGGCAATCCACTGTGGAGTCACTCTGATGAGGAGTCGAGCATCGTGGCGACTGGTGGAGAAGTGGAGAGCACAGAATGACAGGGATATAGTAGCATATGCGCTGCTGAATTGATAAGAGATTGACGTTCGTTCTCCGAATTCTGAAAGGCTACTGACCGACAACATGTTTTCCTCTCACAGACTTGTACTCCTGGCTGCTTTGCCTGTCATCCTACTACTCCTTCACCAGGGATATATACGTTTCTCAATACAGAGCCCACTTCTGTCATGGCTCCCGGACACTGTACTGGATGCTGTCATTGCTCGACCAACCGTCCAACTCCGCCAAGGTATCGTGGTGGGAACGAGATTGTCCGACTCTCTGCGACAACCAGTTGATGCATTCCGAGGAATTCCTTATGCTCTCCCTCCGACTGGCGATAGGAGATTCCGCAGGGCAGTCGCTGTGGGCTCCTCGAACGACACCATTGACGCGAGTCGGTTCGGTCCACGGCAAGTGATCTACCTTATCGTAACTAGTATGGATGCTGATCAAGCAGATGCCCCGGTAAACAACTATTGAAAGTTCCTGGTGATGCCACCATTTCGGAGGACTGCTTGACGGTGAACGTGTTTCGTCCTCATGGCGCAAAAGGCAGATTACCCGTCGCGGTGTACGTGCATGGCGGTGCTTATAACCGTGGCACGGGTGAGTCTCAATCAAATAAATATGAACAAGTCTGACGAGAATAGCTTCAATGCATAACACCGCATCAATGGTGGGATGGTCAGAGAAACCATTCGTTGCAGTGAGTTTCAACTATCGGTGAGTTGTCGCGCAAGGGCTGTCGCAATGGAACTCGGCTGAGGAATCATTCTAGTATCGGCGCGCTGGGATTCCTTCCTTCGACTATGTCAGCACAGGAGGGCATACTCAATCTCGGGCTGCATGACCAGATCCTTGCCTTCAAATGGGTCCAGGATAATATCGAAGCGTTTGGAGGGGACCCCTCGCAAGTGACACTCATCGGCCTGTCCGCAGGAGCACACTCGGTATGATGCCTTTAGAGATATCCGGAGACCAGTACTGATATCAGTCGTAGATCGCACACCATATCATGAACTATGACCTTGGCACCTCCCTGTTCCATCGAGCCGTCATCGAGTCAGGCGCGGCAACCTCGCGCGCCGTGCACCCATACAACGCCCAACTACACGAAACCCAATTCCAAGAATTCCTCACAGAGGCTGGCTGTAGCGACAGACCGCAGTCCGACATAATCAACTGCCTGCGCAGTCAACCATCCCCAACCGTCATCAACGCCTCCTTCACCATCTTCAACCGATACAACCCCTCCGTCCGCTGGGCCTTCCAACCCGTCATCGACGGCGCCCTCATCAAGCGCCGCCCAATCGACGCCTGGCACTCAGGGAAATGGAACAAAATGCCCATCCTGACGGGCTTCAACACAAACGAAGGAACATACTACGTCCCGTCCGCGATGTCGCAGTCCTCCCAATTCACAAGCTTCTTCCGCACCTTGCTCCCCGCCTACTCGGACGAGGATATCAAAACCATCGACGACCTCTACCCAGACCCCGCGGTGTATCCGTCCTCACCATATCTCGAAACTAGAAGCATACCCGTCGGTCCGCAGTATAAGCGCGTCGAAGCCGCATATGGTCATTACGCGTATGCCTGCCCGGTGCGGCAGACGGCGACTCTCGCCTCGGCGGGGCAGGAGGAGCCCGTGTTTCTGTATCGCTGGGCGCTGAACAAGACGGTTCAGGGGGGCGCGAATCATGGTGATCAGATGGCGTATGAGACGTTTAATCCGGAGGTGCGAGGCATTTCGAGGAGTCAGGAGGAGATTGCGGGGACGTTTCATGCGTACATCACTTCGTTTATTGTGACTGGGGATCCGAACGCGTTGGGGGGACGGTATGAGAATCGCACGGTGTGGAAGCCTTACGATGCCTCATTGCCATCTAGACGCAAAATCATGGTCTTTGAAGAAGGGAATGATGAGCGTGCTGGTGGAAGTGGCAAGGGTGTCGCGGCGCAGTTGGTGGAGGATGAATGGAGTCGAAGAGAGTGTGGCTTTTGGTGGGCCAAGGCCGGTATATCAGACTTGAGATAAGGTGTTGTGAGGGAGAGTTGTATATGAGAACGAGCGACGAGAGAACGGAGCAGTTATGCTATCAGCAGTGACTGCGACACCAGACGCAGTCTCTGCCCACTCTATACTTGTTTGAAAGTAAGCTTGGCCCCGGCTACAGGTTGAAGGCCACTGGCGAGTCTCAGCGACTCGCTACACTATATTTGGCCTGAGAGAATTGGATATGGCTCTCAATTGACGCTTACATTGGCTGTGGGTAAGATTTCTGGTCTACGAAGCTAGCTACATGCTCTGTGGGCTACCGGAACCTCTCCCAGATGTCAATAGGCGTCATCGCGCCCTGGTTGCCATGTTTCTATAAATGTAGAGATTTTGTATGCCTGGAAGCTTAGCAGCGCTCCTCTCAAAACTAGCGACGTGGGTTCTGTATACGCCAATGGAATCGTTATATAGTAGCGAGGTCGCGATCACCGTAAGAAATGAATATGTTTGCATTCTACTGTGTGTCTGAGGTTCGAGGGTAAGAACTTCGACTTCGTAGCCCCAACACACATGCAAGCAAGAACATATCGCCAGTCCTCGGAGTATTTCTATTCGGAACTGGATTCCGGATTCTCGAGCCCAGGAAACCCGATATAGCGAGATGTGGAGAGCGCAATCTCTGGCTGTTTCTGGGAGATAAAACGGATTTGCCTATTTGAAAGGAGGGCTGTACTGATGGAAAACCACACAGGAGCTGTCTTGATGTCAATCTTCTGAAGGTGCGATCGAGTCCTGTCAACACCCCAAGCGAGCGAACTCTGGCAACCTTGGAAATGAAGCGTTTCCGGGGCGACGACAAGGTACACATATATGTGAAGAAGCACGCGTAGAGAAAGACACATCCAGTCCTTCACCAGCAAATGACACGGTGCGAATGTGACATATGCAGGGGACGAAGATTGACATGCAAAATTCAAGGCGAAGGAAACTCAAAACGTGCTGGCGTGCGAGCCAAAATTGCCGAGATAGTGCACCACATGTTCGCTGCCAACTCATCGGCTCGGCCACGTCTGAGGATGGTCCAGCTCCTAGTTCCCAATTCCCCGTCTGTCGATATGGAAAGAGGGCCTGTTTTTCGGCCCCTAATCCAAGAGATACAAGTCCAATCGGATGGGGAGGTTCTGTTGGAAGTCCACCATGTTTCTGGGGGCTTTTGTCAAGTTTGGAGATGACATGCATGAAGGATTAGCGTGCATTCAGAGGTAGGTAGAGGTAGGGAAAAGGGGAGATCGACAGAAACCAACCCAACAGTCGGGATGGGGATAAAAATATCCCTAATACTGCCCAATATAGTAGTTTAGCTGATTTTCTCCCAGGTAAATCGCCCTGTTTCGGATATTAATAGGATGGTCTTGTCATCCCGAGCCAATGAGACAGCTGTGACAAGCTGAGCGTGTTGGAACGAGGGCACACAGCCTGGGCCTTGGAGTCCACGATGGCGGTGAGGCCCATGCGAGTAATGGTCTTGTGTAGCCCAGATAGTGAGAAATTGGGGACAAGCAAACATCTTGATGGAGGGTGATTCTGACAGATCCAACATCAAGGAATATGGCTATTTTCGAGCTAACCAAGGTAAACCTTCCATACCATGAGATGGCAAATGAAGTCTGGTTATTTAAATGAGTCTCAGGCAGCCAGAGCAACTGCCCTCGCTTATTCTTCAGGACAGTGAGTGAAGACTAAGAATATTCACGGTCGAGATTGATCGTTTCCCACCGCCCTCTCACAAGTAAACACATCTGACGTAGAGAATTCCTCTCTTCTCCCATCCCCTATGTCCTCATCAACCAGCACCGTGGCAATGGAGGAGGAACAGCGGGTCACCGCAGCAGAGAAGATTCGCCATATTCTGAAGGCGTATGCCTCGGGACAGTCTCTCTTCCCTCGCCATGTTCTTCAAGATCTCAGTCGCCAGATCGACCAGGGACTTGATGAGGTGCACATTGCAGATCTGGATGGCGCTCCCCAGAAACACAGCCTCAAGGTTCCGGCCTGGTGTGCAGATTGGGCGTAAGATCTGCCGAGCCTCATTAAGGTAAACGCAATAACTGACAGAGTCCAGAAACTCATACCGCATCTCCTACTGTAGCATCCAAGCCCTGACCACCGTCAACCCTTTAATGCCGGATGAAATTCTTCGTGACCAACCTCCCGTGGCGATCTGCTACACCAAAAGCGATAAGAAACCCGAGAATCCCCTGGATGAAGTACGCAAGGCATTCGACAAACAGCGCGAAGTGTGGCAGACTAGCGAGGCCTGCGTGGATCTGCAGAAGCAACTGACCACTCTGAGTCTTTCTCGTCCGATCAACAAGATCGTCTGCTTTGGACTGGGCACCCTGGGCCGCTTGAACACCCGCAGCGCGGGACGCTCTCACACCCAGCATGCTGCCGTTGGAACCATGGTGCAAGCACTGAAGGCAAGACAAGTCAACAGCAACGAGGAGATCAGATGTTTTGCGCAGGATCCTGCATACGACGAGGTCGATATCGCGCTGCTTAAAAGCATTGGCATCACCCCGCTGGACGATCCAAAGGGGTTTCTCGCAGTTGACGAATCCACTCTTGTCTTTTGCGTCAGCCCCAACGTGCCCGTGAAGCAGATCATTGCCGATGTTCAGTGGCCCGCTGCGATGATTTGGAACACCGTCAGACCTTTCGAACCGGACGTCCCAGTATGGGAACAGCGTGTGAGGAATGGTCAGATAACCTGGGTTTGGTATGTTCAACCGCTTTCTGCAGAACTCTCAGAGGCTGACAGTAGCAGCCCCTACACCACCGATCCGGATTCCTCGCGCGTACGCAAGATGGTCAGTCATTATGTGCATGCTCCAGTGGTTGACATGGACGACTGTCTTGGAGATCTGACGATCTACATGAGATGAAAGTATTACCGTATGTCTCATGACGGAAACTGGCTTTCTGGCTGAAGACTATGTACCAGACCACGACTTCTAGTCGAAGAATATGACCTTATGAACAACATAACTAGCCACACTCAGTGACATAACGCATTCTTGAGATTGACCTGTAATGTAATGCTACGCTTGGAATCCCTGTAGACCCGCTCCCAGTGGGCAGCCAGGGATCAGAGCCCTGGGTTAACAGCGCTCAAGTACTAAAACAATGCTGCATTCATTCCATGTATTGTTGGGGTCTGACACTCACATTCTCTGCAAGTCAGCCACTTCCAGCCCTCATTCAACGGCATACTAGTCTCAGCCTTAGGCTACTTGGCTGTATCCACAGTAGAAAGGGCCTGCTTGGTGATTAGTCCTTCCGAGTCCACTTGGTCTCGCCTATAAGGTTATAATGCAGTTTATCTTCCTCTTGGGCTAAGACACAAGGAGCACCAATCCATCTATGACAAGGAGCCTGCTCTGCTTAAATAGTGCTCGGACTGTGCTGTGAGCAGTGAGCAGACAGCAGACAGCAGACAGCAGATCTATTGCTAGAGAACCCAGCTAGTAGCCACTGAATTAGTATACCATCTATGCTTGCTGTAAATAAGTATGCTATCAGAGATAAAGCCTGAATGGCTTTCATAGAGCCCTGGCTGGCAGTTTGAAATCCCTTTATCTGACCGTGCTCAAGGTGCTTTTACAGTGTTGGAGTATGCCAAGGTCTTGCTGGTTAGATCAAGGCTCTATCAGATTTCAAGGGGTGGGATACTCTTCTTACTCTACAGGCTGCCACTGTGATATAACAGCTCAACGAGCTACCAGTGAAGATGCCATCAAGAAGTTCATTTTGAATGTGGAGTACAATCAGATCTGTGGCACCCTGTGCTTTCATCTGGAACATGACAGCACCTGCTGCATGCTAGATTCAAACAGCCTTTTTTCCTGAAAGCTTATCTATTATTCCTGGCTCGCCTTTAATCATAAATCACTGTAACCAGTACAATTGGTCCCCAATTAATCTTTTATTGCCGTTTTCATTCTTTTGTATCATTTTCAACGCCGTTGCTAGGTCGCTATCATAATTATAGTTTTACTGGTTCACTAACAATTACAGCATAAGTCAAAATTTCCCTATCTATTTACCTCTTATTGGCATGTCGAGGCAAATCCATGAGTGCTTACATGCTGCAATGCGAATCCTGTCTTAGTCACTTTGTGTCTTGCCGGCGAAATACTTCCAGCAATGATTGGACATAACCTGGGGTTTCGGCTGGTCACATCCATCAATAAAGATATTTGCATCCTATCAATCAAGGAAAGGTGACCCCGTTAGAAACATGCCAATGAGAACAAAACTGTAAGTACTCACAGCTGTAAATCCTGGTTACGGCACCCGGTCCACAATGAAGGCGATTTAAGTGGCGTGAACCCCCTGAACAGATAAGCATACTATTGTCCCAAGTATCCTCAGCAGAGTAAGTAAGCCATGGACATGTCACAGAGAATGATTGGGATTCAGCAGCTTTACTGCCCTAGTGATGGAACGGCAGAGGTAGAGTAAGTGATGATACTTTTCTTTCTACCATTGCCGAAGTGCCCGGACGCGATAAAGCTGACAATTCTCATCACGAAGTATTGTTGCAGTCCACGGTCTAAACGGCCATGCCGTCGAAACATGGACAGCTCGACCTGAGAATATATGCTGGCTAAGTCACCCAGACTTCTTGCCAAAATATGTCCCGAAGGCACGAGTCCTCTCCTGGGGCTATAACGCGAACGTGTCCTCCATCATGGGCCCAACAAGTGCGAATCAAATCTTGGAACATGCTCAGACTCTTGTATCTCACCTAGAAGCTGAGCGAGAGGTGGGTGTCCTTTGCTTGACTTTTGATTAAATGGTAACCGTCGCTAGTTGGAGGAGGCAAGTTCGAGACCCATAATTTTCATATGCCACTCCCTTGGGGGAATTATAGTCAAGAGAGTACGCTGAACCCTGAACGACTGTCCATAAGCTGCCGACTAACGAATTGAACTTCAGGCCATATCTTATTCTGCCAGCCGGAAGAACCCACGGTCTGCTCACATTCAATCGATCTATACTAGCACTTATGGAATCCTCTTTTTCGGAACCCCACACCATGGATCAAGCAAAGCTCGACTTCTTGGAAATCTTCAGAGGATTGCTCAGCTCGCAATACCAAAGAGAGCCGCAAATTTTGAGACTAGCCTTGTAAATGCGCTCGAAGAGCAGTCCGAGATTCTTCAGAATATTACCGACCAGTTTGCCCCTCTCATGACGGAGTTTCGCATCTACTTCTTCTGGGAAGAAGAAAAGACAGATTTGAAGTATACTAAGGATCTGATTGTGGAGGAAGCGAGCGCCGCGCCGATCCTCGATAATACTGAAAGAGGCGGGATTGCTGCAGATCACAGGGGAATGTGCAAGTTCAATCATCCCAGCCTACAAGGCTTCCGAACTGCAGTTTCCGCAATCCGACGTTATTCTCGGGAGGCACCCGAAGCCATTCGCACCAGACACCAAAGAGTGTTGACTGCACTTCACCAAAGCCAAGTGTATCAGGCCACAGATCTTCTGAGGACCATCCAGCCGGCAGATACGCACTTCGATTTCAGGAGAACCATTGATTTCCCTCCTTCACGAGCGGCACGCGATGCTTTTGCTTTCCTCACGGATAGCCAATCAGCTACAACACCTTGTGACTGTAGCAGTGCAACAGAAGAATATTGACGGCAAGGCTACAGTAAAACGTCTCCGCAAATGCAAGTACCACTAGATATGCAGGTTCCCTCTTTCAGCTACTAGTGGGTGCGGAACAGAAGGTGATAAGTCACCCCCTAGATTATTACTACCTTAAAATAACAAACTTTTCCTGACAAGAAGGTTTGCCTAAATTCCGTGTCATCTATGTCATTCGGTCAATTTGAATATTAATACCACCCCTGATCCAATCTCCCTTCGAGCTCCCTTCGTCCACTCGGAGTCCTGTTGTTGCGCTTTAGCGTCAAGTGTGTTTAAAGACATAAAGATCCCATGCCTCCTGTATCTTAGATCTGCGGCAGTTCATAATCCCCCTAAAATGGCTTTAGAAACCGTCTTCTACTGCTTGATCTTAGTGCTTGTTGGGCGTGTGTTTTATCAGCTTGTGATAGTACGATACAGAGATTTCCAGGCAAGTAGGCCAGACATGAACCGGCTTTGAGATAATTCACCTGACCAGCAACAGGAGGACAATGCATTAGGGCATCAATACGGCTGCGAGCTTCCTCCAGAGTTGACGAAGAAATGGCCCCTGGGCCTCGATCGGATAAAGGAACTGTGGACATCAAATGCAGAGGGCCGTCTCCTCGCATTCTTGTGCTCTATGGCAGAGGAGTATGAGCCTGGCAACAGCATCACTCAATACTTTTTGCTCGGCCCAAGAGCCTTTCATATATTGCGGCCAGAGAATGTGGAAGCGATTCTTTCGACAAATTTCAAAGGTGCGAATGGCTACCTGTCCACCCATCAGTTATACCTTTCTCATGCCATTTAGACTATGGCTTTGGTGCAAGACCAGCTATATTTGCTCCCCTTCTGGGCAATGGCATTTTCACTCAAGAAGGTCCTGCGTGGAGACATTCTCGAGATCTTTTACGCAAACAATTTGCTCGAGTCCAGAGCCGCAATCTCAAACATTTCCATGAGCATGTTGACAACATGATAGCTCACCTGCCATTGGATGGAGTCGTCGATCTTCAACCACTTTTTTTTCAGGTAACCCTCGACACGGCTACGGCGCTTTTATTCGGAAGATCAGTGTACAGCTTAAAGGCTGGCATCGATCAGGACGCTGACAACAGGCGCTTTGCTGAGAGCTTTAATGTCGCCCAGGAAGGTCTAGCAAAGCGATTTCGCATCGCACCTTGGCACTTCCTCTACAACCCACCAAAATTCCGAAAAGCTTGTGCCGACGTTCACCGATTTGTTGAACAGTATATCGATAAGCTGGACTTACAAACAAGTGAGGACCTGGATGATAAAGCATATGGCTTTATCAAGCAGGTAGCACAGGAGTCCGCCAGCAAAGAGGATCTTCGTGATCAACTACTCAACGTGCTTTTAGCAGGGAGGGATACCACAGCCTGTTGCCTTTCATGGACCTTGTATGTGGCCGATTGTCGAGGAATTTCAACGAGCTGTTATTAACTGTGAGTGAATAGCCGGTTACTTGTTCGTCATGAGCAAGTAATGCTTCGCCTGCGAACGGAGATAGCCTCAGTTATGGGGGACTCTGTGCATCCGACGAGGGAGGAAATCAGAAAGATGCCATATCTCTCCTGCGTCATCAAGGAGAGTAAGTATCCCTTTCCTCCAATGTTTATCTTATGTGACTAAGGAAGTGAGGTCTTCGTCTTTACCCTCCCGTTCCATTGAATAACCGTGAGGCAATTCGGACCACTATTCTGCCTACAGGGGGTGGCCCTGGTGCAGATCGTCCCATACTGGTCAGAAAAGGGGAGGTTGTTGTCTTTTCTCAATATGTGAATTCACGTAAGAAGAATATCTATGGTGCCGACGCGGACTGCTTCCGTCCGGAGAGATGGGAAACTGGTGAGTTGGATCATATTGGGTGGGCATATTTTCCCTTCAACGGGGGTCCGCGGCAGTGCCTCGGGGAGGATTTCGCCCCGATGGAAGTTTCATACACGGTTGTGAGGCTATTGCAGACCTTCGCATCCATAATCCTACCAAAGGGGGAGCCAATCGAGCCTGTTGGAAGCGAAAGACAGCGACTCACTCTTGTTCTTTCAAGTGCCGATGGTTGTAGGGTGGAAATCCATTCCTCTAACACGGTGCTGCCTTAGCATTCTCATGAATTAGGCCGCAAACTTCATGACTCTATAGTGAACTATATACCTTATATTTTTGATTATGATGCTGTACAGTACATGTTGTACTGTTGAAAGGAATTGCTTCCAGGATGTTTGCCCGTGGAAGGAACAGGTCTGAGAGAACTCCCAGGTTCAGTTACCAAGCGACCTATGATTGGTCACGGTGATACCTGAAATGATCTTCAGGTTGTGATTTTGCCCTACTGCAGATAGCCGTGTCGGTCGCTTTTCGTGCAGGTGGAAGCACCCTGATTGTCTCATCCTGCTGAGTCCTGACCACCCAGCTGGTGCGTCTGGCCGGTCCCCAGTCCTTACAAGACATGTCCATGTGGCCTGGAATGGTGTGGTTGTAATACGATAGTACGTGTATAACTGTTGCTTGTCTTCCTATCCCTCCAGGGTCCATATGGCTCTGGTTTCATGGCAAAATGACCCTTGTGTCCTTAGGGATTCTTCACCTGCGTGAACTGAGCCCAGCCCACAAAAGCAACTCGGAAGCTGAATGGAAGAATGCGGTGGAGTATGGGCTTCTCTGAAGAGGCGATTCCAGCCCTTGGCCTGGCCAAAACAGCTAACAATGGTGCTGTCAGTATCGTCGCCGTCCACGGATTGCATGAAGACCCAATAACCGCGTGGACTGCGCCTGAGACTGGGACGCTCTGGCTAAGAGACTTGATCCCGAAGCACGTACCCCAAGCACGAGTTCTGTCCTTCGGATACGAATCCTCCCCCAGCCTTTTTGACGGGCACTGCTTTGTAGACAAAGTCCAAAGCCTTGCGACGACCTTAGTTGCGCAACTTGAATCAGACAGGAGCTTGGAGAACTGTGGAAAACGGCCGATAATCTTCGTCTGCCATGGACTAGGAGGTGTAATTGTCAAGAAAGCGCTCGCTCACTCCGCCAGTTCAACGTCTCCCCTGGTCGTCCATCTGAATGACATCTTTATTTCGACGTTTGCAATCTTGTTCTTTGGAACCCCGCATATTAATATTAACTTGGCCAACTGGCTTGTTCTAGAATCCGTAGGGGTCGGAGATGGACGCGCTCAACGAGCTGGGCGTTCACAATCGTCACCCCCGAAGAAGCTCCAGAGCCTGGAATCCATTACTGAACAATTTGCCCCTTTGATCAAAAAGTTCTATACTAGCTTTTTCTGGGAAGGTATACCGACTGATTTCGGAGGCTATCGTGATTTCCTCGTCGAACCGGCCTCCGCCGCTCCGGCTATCTACGAGAGCCCAAAATGTGCAATTGTCGGTGCAACTCACTCGAGGATGGTCAAGCTTTTAGAATGGAGTCCATCTTACTCTACAGTGCTTGCGACGCTGAAGAGGTACTGTCTGAAGGCACCCGGTGTGATTCATGATCGCTGGAAAAAGGCCAGTGATGCACTGGCTCGAGCTAGGCTTAATGAAGCCCATGAAACCGCTGGTTTTCACTTCAGCCTGCCCGACAAGCTCGCAGATCATTTTATAAAGGAACTGTCCCAGGAAGACGCGCGAAATCAGCATCTTTACACGCCCTTGCTTCCTTCTAAAAACTACATTGGCAGGAAAGAGATCAGGGAACAGATTCGACAGGCACTTCTTCTTCCAGAAACCGATTTCAGTAGACAGGGCCAAAGGCGCTTTATCGTACAGGGCATAGCAGGCTCAGGGAAAAGCCAGTTGTGCACAAATTTTGCATCCGACAACCGTGAGAGGTAGGTGACGGTCCATAAATTCTCATCTCAGTCTTTCCATTTGAGTGACTTTGTATCTAGTTACTGGGGCGTCTTTACAATAGACGCGACATCTGAAGCACTTGCAGCCAAATCCTATGCTGAAATCGGCAAGATAGGGGGTTTGGCAAGCACGGAAAGCGCTGGAAAATATTACCTCTCACGAGCACGCGAGCCATGGTTGCTCATCATTGATAACGCAGATAGCCCCGACATTCACCTTCCCAGCTTGTTGCCTCCCGGGGATCGAGGGCACATTCTCGTAACCACTAGGAACCGAGAGATTCGGAAGTATGGGAATGTAGGGAGCATAGAGCTTGGAGGGCTTGGAGAGAAAGAAGCACTCTATCTACTTCTTAATTCGGCAGAAATCTCACCCCCATGGGATATGTCTACAGAGACGACAGGCAAGGAAATTACCAAGGTCTTGGGATATTTGGCACTCGCCATAAAGCAGGCCGGGTCTGCAATATCCCGGAAGCTTTGCAACCTAGAAGACTATCTCGATTTCTATCAGTACTACCGAAAGAAGCGCCGACAAAAAGCTTCTATTGCCTCCAGCAGTGTCAGAGAAGATACCAACACAAACTCTCGCAAAGAAGATATTTACTCCGCCTTCGACCTCTCCTTCGAATATCTCGACAAGAAGCAGACTCTCCCCAGTCAGGATGCTATTGAGATCCTGAATATTGTCGGTTTTTTCCACTTCGACAACATTCGTATTGAGATATTTGAAAGTGCCATGAGAAACCGGCGGGCAGCCCAAGCCCCATCCTCATTGATCAGTCGTCTCCAAGCTCCTCGTCCATTTCCACATTTTCTCAAACGAGCTGGTGAGGATACAGACCCCTGTTATTTGAGAGTGGTTCTGTGTGAGCTATACACCCTCTCCCTCATCAGCTATGACGAAGACCTCAAGAGCTTCCGGTTGCACCCCCTCGTACATGCCTGGGCCATGGATCGCATAGATCCAAAGGAAAGAAAGATCTGGGCCTTGATCGCGCTAGATACCCTGGTTGAGGCGATCGTGCTTCCATCGGACGACCATAAAGGACTGGACACAGACCTCGGAAAAGATATTCTGCCTCACCTTGATGAATGTCTTGCCGCATGTCCGGTGGAGATTGAAATATCCAGGATTCCGTTTGGACGTCTTGGAATTCAGGTAGCGAAACTAATCATGGCGACACACTTGCTCAATTTGAAGGACAAAGCAGAGACTGCTGCAAGATGTGGCTATGTATACGCTTTGTGTGGTCGCTTCGCAGACGCTGCTCGCTACATCACAATGGTTAAGGATCTGACGGTACATACACTGGGATACGACAACCCAAAAACACAGATGGCGATGATGGGGTTAGCTGGAGTTCTGTGGGGTCTTGGAAAACTCGAACAGGCCATCGCGTTACAGAAACGGGTCGTCGAAGTCCGACAAAAACGGCTCGGCACTTCTCACCGTGATACCTTGAAAGCTATGGCGACATTGGGTCAATCATTCTGGCTGAATGGCCAGTATCTTGAGTCTTTACAGCTGCTGGAGGAAACTACCAAGAAGATGATTGACACGTTGGGCCCTGAAGACACAGATACGTTGGTTGCAATAGACAATCTTGGGGTGACACTGGGATCCTGGCAACGATACGAAGAAAGTAGAGCCATGCACGAACGGGTATTGAGAATCCGGCAAAGAGATGCTGAAGATGACAACACTGAGACCCTGACAACTATGAGCAACTTGGCTATGGCTTTATTCGATCTAGGGGAGCTCGAACAGGCAAAAGAAATGATGAGCCGAGTGTACGAATTGCGTCAAAAGAAGCTCGGCAAAGAACATCCATACACCTTATGGGCGCTTTGCTATCTTTCAAAGATATACACAGAGCTAGGGCTACTCGACCAAGCAGAACGGATGTTGGAGGATGGAATCGCGGCAGGCAAGCGCAGTCTCAGTGAAGATCATCTCGGAGTCCTCATGGGATGTGGAGAGCTCGCACGGGTGTACGCACGGCAAGGTCGCCTGGCGGAGGCCGAGACACTATCTCTGAGCATGCTTCAGAAAGTAAAAGTAACTCGCGGCTCGGAACACTTCGACTATATCTTCGGAATGTGGAAACTTGGTCAACTATACGAAAAGAAGAACCGAGGTCGGGAGGCCTTGGACGCCTATCGGGTCGCCTTTGAGCACACCGAGACACGTCTGACCAGGGAGCATCCCCTTGCAAAACAGATTGAACTTCGTATAAATCAGCTGGATGGCTCAATACCCACGAAGCCCGAGACTACAAGTACCAAGGAAAATCAGGCCGCTCCAGAATTGCCCGTGAAAAGAGCTTTCAAGACTCTGCAGTCTACTCAAACTTGGTAAGAGTCTTGCCTGAATGGATTGTAGGAAATGCCCGGGGAGCATGCTGCAACGGTGGAAACTTATAATCTGGCACCTCCAGTTGCTAATGTTGTACTATGTTCATGATTGACCGAGTTTATTCTATGCGATGTCTGGATGTTGATGGATAAAAGGGTTATGCACATAAACATACGCTTACTAAGCGATGCTTATCCAATCCGCAGCCATCCGATCGACATCTCGACCTCATCCACTTTGTTCTTCCTCCATCAAATGATCAACAGGATCCAAACATTCATCAATCAATCAATATGATTTTGATACTATCTCGAAAGTAATCCACTACATCTCCTTATACTCCAGGACAATGGCTTTCCCTGATGAGTTATTTCTGCATCCACCAGATCCTCAGTTTCGTATTCGACGAAAACCTGTCTCCAATCCCCATCTCCATCAAAGCTATAGAAATGATGGTGACAGAAATTCATCGCAAGCGCCCAGTCCGACCATCAGGGGTGTAACGATGGTTTCGTCGTCGGAAATTCCAACCCCAACGCTTCCGCGCCCACCGTTGAGGTCCAAAGCATCCACTAACACTATTGCTGACCCCTATTCTGGTCGCTGCGAGAGGAACGTCAATAGCAATGCTTGGACTTCCACCTCGGTCCAGCGCGCTGCAACGGACATAATTCCTGCATCGCAATCTCAAACTGCTCAATCGTCCGCTTCGGCAACAGTGCAAAAGGCCTTTGGTGAAGCCCGACATTTTCTGGGTGGACTCATCAGCCATCCTGCAGAGTCCAACAAGCATTTTACCATATTGCGCCATTCACCCGGCGTGGTCTTCTATCGGGGCAGTACTACGTCTGTCACGGTTTCTATTTTCTCTGACGCCCCTCTACCACCCGACCGTTCCTTATGGCTCCAGAACAAGGGCTGGACAGGAAAAACGGGGATGCGCGCCAAGGCCCTATTCCGACTGACGGACGACTGGCTGGACGTCACACCCACTCTGGCCTTGCGCTCTGACCAAGTCGAGCCAAAGGACGAGCGGGCATGGCAGCGTGACATTGCCAAGTTTCTGAAAAAGGCCCCGTCGCGTGTGCGCGACACTCATCGCCTACGCGAGACGGCCGTCGCACGGATCCCTGCTGAGGCCGGCGACGGGTACTTCCAGGTTGTATTATGCCAGGGGCCGAAAAAGAAGGTTCTCTGTACGAGTCCAGTATTTCGCGTCCTTTCGACCTCGCTTGATCCGAGCTCGATCCGTGGCGCGAGCTTGTCTACCCTGCCATTGGAGGTGGGCGCGATGGTCATGGGGCTATATGCGCAGACAGCGGCGCAGACCGTCATCAACCCTGCTACATCACTCGTACAAGCGACGATTCAGCCGTATAAGCCCTCATGGGTGACACAGACTGCTGCTGAGACAGCATACGGGATTGGCATGTCGATGCGATCAGGCGATGACGACAGTAATCAGGGTCCTGCGGCAGCAATGGCCCACGGTCAACAGGAATCGATCTCTTTAGAGACAGGACCGAGTCCACCGTACCCCATGAGGTTCAAGGCGCGAGCCTCAGCCATGCAAGGAGAAGGGGCCTATGATATGCAACGGATGCGACTCAATAAGGTCCCCGATCTGATTTTGGACCGATTACATGGTTTTTTCTTCGGATGGGCACGATTTTTAGCCACCAACGAGGATGACGAATCCTCGGGTTCTCAATGGTACCAGGCCATTCTTGCCATCCGCAATCTGGATCCCTCTCAGCAGGCGCGGGTGAACATGTCCCAGGTGATGAAACGAGTCACCACCCTTCGCTTCCTCGAGGAGGTGCCATTTCCATCCCTGTCCCGCGTCGAGGTGCGTGTACTTGGATTCCTTCGACCTGATGTGCCATCACCCCGGGGAACGAGTGAGGAGGAATTACTGGCAGCCCGCAATGCCGCTGCTGAAGCGGCCATGTTGGCGGATGCGTGTGACGCGGCATACGTCCGGAATGTGCTGGACTATCCGGCTTGGGGACCGGACAGTCGAAGGGAAGCCGGACTTATTGACCGTACCAAAGAGGGAGTTGAAAATGTGCGAGCCCGTGGCCAGAAAATGGTTGAACGAGTCCCACTGCATTGGCTTGGAGTAAGGTCTCCTACAGCGGAGATGCGAGACCGACAGATTACCATGAACGGGTTCTACGTTGTCCGCTGAAAATGTATTCTGTTTCGATAGAATCGTTTATAACATTTTCTCGACGCTGATATTGCTAGTGGGGACGTTTCAGAGGATCATATTGTCAAAAAGTCCCGTCAAAACTCCATCCCACCTGTCTCACCCACTCGCTCCCGCTCATTTTCCACCTGCCGATCATTGCCATCAATCGTTCGTTCTGCCACAGATCCAACGGCTTGATCTTCACCAAAGCGCATTGGGCAATGTCTATTTTCAAACGCTGATACAATGTTTCCTGGTCTTCCTCGACATCATCCCCAAAGAGAAGGGCAAAGGACGCGAGGTCCTTCTCTTTCACGTTGTTCACCTGCGTCTTGACAGCTTCAAAATCAACCAGCAACAAAGGGTTATCGGCACACTTCTGCACTAGGTCCATAAGCCTCCTCCCATACTCCATTCCCGGATCGTTCGTGTGAGGATTGTACTTTGGCGACGGCAGAAGCAGCATCTGCATTTCCAACCTCGACGGCAGGACGGCAGGCGACCTGTCTGGATTCTCCATCCACTGTGCCGTCCTCAACGACTCGATATCCGCAACAATCCGCTCCATCATCCCTTGCAGCAAGTCATACCTCCCAGGATCAGATACTGACCTCATCTTCTCCTTCACGATCGTCAATGACTCCAAACTAGTCTTGACCGAAACCACGAACCGATTCAGCTTCTTATGGAACCTCACCGGGTGCCGACTCACTATCCCCGCGCGACAGATGTACTCCTCCACGAGATCGGAGACTGTTATGCCACCCTCTGCCAGCGTTTGTACGCCCGCAGCGATGCTGTCGCCTATTCCGGCAAAGGGGTTACAGCTATGCAGGTACGACTGCAGGGTGAGCCAGTGCTTTCCCTCCGTACTGCCACGCCACCCCTTATCTTTCGCAGAAAGCTTCTCATTTATCGTTTCCACATGAGAGTAGTGCAGGTAAGCGAGGGCCCAGCACCTGTGTTGGTGAAGATAGGATTTTGGGAGATACTGTCTCCAGGTACTGAAGAGGGAGTGGGTGGCGGATGGGTCAAAGGCCCAGATCTTACTGAGGCACGTGATGGCATTGTCTTCGTCAGGAGTAAGATGGATCTGCGAGAGGAAGCATCGAATCCAGCGAGTGTGCTGCCGAGTGGATTCATCCAATAGCGGGACGAGTACCTTATGCAGATATTCTTTACGGTGTTGTTCCGAGAGGTAGCAGAAGGCGGTTTTGAGGAAGCAATGGAGCAAGGGGCGATCGGAAGCGGGGACTACCTCTGGGAGAGGTCTGTCTCCCTTTTCGGCGGCAAGCCAGTCGGCCTCCGGTGTGGCTTCTCGTTCGCTCGGGCCTGAAGCGGCGATCGCCATGGAGGCGATTGCAGTAAATACCGAAGTGAAGTCTGCCGCGCGGTGGAACAGTTGCAGGACTGTCATGACAACTTCATAACGGACATCGATGTGTCGATTTGAATTGAAGACATCTTGAAGTATGCGAAGACAGGTGGATATATCGACAAAGGTTGCGTCGGCGAGGAGTTGGGCGAGCATCTTGATTGTCGTGATCTTGACATAAGGCTGGGTCTTTGTCGATGGATCACGACAATCCGACTGCCCGGCCTGAGACTTACCGGCGTTGCAGACGAAGTCGGCAAACGTGTTGACCATGAGGACGGCGTCCTGCGGCAAAAGTCGCTTCCCCAGCCTCAATAGTCGCATTTGCCGGTGGTACGAGGATGCGTCCGGGAAAGACTTGAGGACTCGGAGGACAACATCAATAGCCAGTTGAGGCTGGTCTGTCTCTTGAAGCAGCTTGATCAAGCCCATCGTCACCGATAAGATTGTGGAATAGTTTGGTTGCTTCTTGTCCCCAGTCTCCGTGAGCATATCGAGCAACGAGACGGCAACATCACGGAGTAGCTGCGCGGGAACGAACTTCACGCATTCTTGAAGAGCGTTTGCCGCTGCATAGATGGCCCTGTTGCCTGTTGTTGCAACGGCAGTCAGAAACTCGTCTGCGAGGAAGATGGCCGGGTATCGACGCGAGGGGGCATTTTGTGGCCAGGGACGGCGTAGGATTCGCTTCGGCTGCTGATTGAGAGTGTCGAGGTACAGGAGCGCAGAAAGCACGACTACTTCACGCTCTGATGGAGGCACGGAGCGGTCGGTGTGAGACCAAATCCGTAATGGATTCTCCTCAGGCTGAACCTTGTTCCTGATGATCCGATCTGCGGCATTCATGCGGCAGATGAGGATCGTTCGTTCAACCTTCTTCTCTTCTGGCTCAGTTTCTATGCTTGGACTGTCCACAGGAGCAGAGGCCGGGAGAGGATCCCATTCAACCACATTATCAAGATCTGAACATTGTTCAAAGAATGTAGATACCGAAAACTTTCTCGGAGGCAGCGGTGGGTTGATTATATTGGCCGCGCTCCATAAGCCTGCTCGACGGGCCGAATCAGCAAGCCATTCCTTGAAGATCTCCAACTGATCTGGATAGGGGCGCAAGGCATCAGAGAATCTTTCCCAGATCTGTAAGAGCTCCTTTTCCTTCGCTGCAACCGAGGGATCTTCTATGACGGCTTGAACTCCATGACTAAGACTGTCAATGGGGTAATTCTTCCTGGCAACACTAGCCGGGACAACGCTTAGCATCGCGCCCGTCGGCACCATAACCTCAGCGAGTCTGGAGTTCAGGTATGGCATATCGTCCGGGTACTTGTTGGCAAGGTGCGTCAGTTCCAGATTAGGGAGGAGATATTCCAGGGGGAGGCCTCTCGGGAAGCCCAGCGGTAGATCCATGATTTCGGGGCTGTCGTCCCTCCTTTTCTCGACCCAGAATTGATTCCGTTCGTACGCCATACGATCCAGGAATGAGAGAACAGCTCCATGCACGTCATCAAGGCAGCCAATCCGAGAAACTGCACCACTAAAGCCACACCAAGTGAACTTATTGGTGTCCTCGCTGTTTGCCAGGCGCTCGAATTCGAGGACGATAGGTAGGAAAGAGTCAAGGAAAGTTTCGACGCGTTCGGATTCAGTGCCTGGATTAGACATCTCAAAGTCCTCGATTCTCTGGGATATTATTCCGCTTAAGAGATACGGGATGCCTTTGGTCAAATTGCTCTGATAATGCGGCTCGCGGACAATAAGGTGTGCGATGTCCAGGTACGACCGGAGAACCTCGTTACTCTTTTCCACAACTGCCTTCAATTCGGAGAGTGTCTTTGGCCTTCTCGGGCCTGGAATGCGCGTGCAGGAAAGAATGGATGCTGTCCTACTGCTGAAAAGGATATCCAATAGTCCCGGGAAGACAACCTATGTTCTTAGTGGACAATTGAGCCGTAGGGTTTGATGACTTACCGGATCTCGAAGGAATCGCCTGCTCCATTCCACGGTTTCTTGGAAGATATCTAAGGACTTGCTGGCGATCGCGAATCGCAGGGCGGCACTGGCCCAGGTCAATCTTCCTTGAGGGTCTCTTTCTCTCGTTGCCCGACGTTTTGACTCCGCCAGCACTGCAGGTGTCAGCGTTGCATATGAAGATCAGGGTGGACAAACCTTTATGGGCAACAGGAAGCTGACCACTCCTCTCCTCATCAGCTTCCCAGTCTATCTTCAACAAGCACTGGTCTGTCCATGTCATTCGGTCCTGACTCGGAGAGGCGCCGTCCGGGTCTGGAAGAAACTCCTCGCAACCGTGGATCGCCAACATGCGACCAAAAAGCCATTTTGCATCGGATGTCGGCAAAGCTCGCAGGATTCTCTCCTCCCAGTATGGGAAGAGTTGGCTTTCCCGCTCGGAAGGGGGCCATGTATCGAGATCCACGTCGATGGAGGGCACTTTGCGACAAAGGAACTTGATGAAGGTCAGCCGTTCTTCGCATGGGATACCGTACAGATGGTCGCTCAGATGATGGTAAAAGTCTCTGGGATTTGTGCGAATGTCAAATTTGCGATCGGCTTGCTGCCGCAGCGTTTGGAGAAGGAAGTCTTCCAGCAGTTCGATATGGAGGGAGAAGGACTTTGCATCATTGTGAAACAAGAGACGCTGAAGCCAGAAGGTTCCTTTATAAGGAATCTTTCCCGTGCGAGCAATGGACCACCATCTGAGGATCTCGCGCGGCAGCGGGTCCCTGGTAACCCAAGAGACGCGCCGCTCACTGTGCTCAAAGTACGTCGGCAAGATGTGTTTGACGAACTTCAGTACAAGGTCCAAGGAACACCCCTTTTTCACTGCCAGCTTCAGCGTAGTGTGGATCAAGTCCAGTACAGCGCTACCTATCCTGCGCTTGAAGCCAGCGTTTGCAGAAAAGGCGTGAACCATGTCGAGACAAAATGCCACGCCAGGGTGAACGTCGGCAGTCATGTCTGGGGGGAGGTAAACAGGTACATACTCCTGCTGCGAGCGCACAAAAGAGTCTCGCTGGGACAAGAAGACTTTGACACGCACATCCTCCGACACTTCAACAGTCCCCACGGCAATCCTCCGCAGTAGATCCAAATGCCAACGCCCTATTTCTTTCAGACGCTGCTGGAACGCGTCATCCTGTTGGCCTTGTCGCTCCAGATACTCAAGCACGTAACTCTCACTGCAAAGCTCTATTAAAGGGCCAAGATTAGGCGAGATCACGCGACCAGTGATGCGATCCGACTCGGCCACGAGACGGAGCAGCTCCTCGACGCAGGCTGAGATCACCTGGCGATCGCCCTGGAGTTTAATGTGGGTAATAGCCGAGGCCAGCCGCTTCACTTCACTCATCGCGAGGTTGTCAATGATCTCCTTGATACCGGCCGCGCCACCGAGGGAGTCCCACGTGTCCTTCCATTTCCTACTGTGGAACTTGCGTCGTAAGGCGTACAGACTTGCCTTGCGGACGCCGCAGGAGATGCGGTCCGTGAGTCGGTTATGGAGGAGCTCAGGGGCATGCTTTACCGCTAGGTGGAACCAGATCTCGTAGATGGTCGCGGGGATGGATTCACTGTGGACTTGGGAAAGCAGATGTGTGTCGATCGCGTTGATATCCCCGTTTTCTGTTGTGACGAGATCTTGGAAATGATGAGCGATGGCCGTGGGGGATTTTTGTAAGAGGAGCCTCGGCTCCAGCTGTGTTTGGAAATCCATCTTGATCAGGGAGTATGAATGTGGTCGTTAAGCTTGGGAGTGCGGGGAATACCACCTTATATGGAGCAGCTGCAGCCTGAACTCTATTGGAAATGGATTGACTCAGAGGCTCAGAGCCGCATAAGAAAGAGCTTGTTGACTCACACTTCAGCCTCAGAGCCTAGTCGCTAGGAAGTAGCAAACTGAATGTAACCTAGCCTCAACTAAACCGCCAAGCCACGGCACAACAGTTGAAAGGGCGGTTTAATGACTGGTCTGGACTCATGAGTCATGACTTGATGAGTTCTTGTACGTATAGTGCTATGCAGATAGAGAATAAATACTACTTTGTACAAGGTAGTCAGTATATTTTATACAGCTCTTTGAACACAAACTATGGACTAGTGGGAAAGGATTAACTTAGAGAAACAGGCATTTTAATAGCACAGGTAGGGAGAATAGTGGAATAAGTAACTGCAGTGAGCATTTTATAAATTTTAGTATAGGATTACAACTACAAACAGTGGTGATGCTATTGACACCTTAAACCTATTGATACCTGTTTAGGCAATAGTCAATATTATACAACGGGGGCTGTATAACCATACTCTTTGTACTGATCATTTTATCAAAGCAGCATATCCAGTTCAAACATTGATGTTAATCTTAGTAGTCCATTTCAATACACTCAGCTCAGTCTGGGAGCAAACACACTCACTGCACATAGTCATCAGCATCCAGTAAGCTCTGCTGGCGAGGGTATACTTACTAGGCATCTTTATCACATCCACCCCCATTGAACCCATGTTCTTGACACTAGAAAGTCAGTCAGTATTGGTAGGCAGACGCATGAATTGGAGTGCTTACAGCGCTGTTACACTTCAGGTTTGCAATGAACCATGCTTCCTCTGCGCCGGCGTCGCTGTAGAGGGGGTAGCATTTCTGGAGGACGGTGGTTGGATCTGCTAGGGCGGAGAGAGGGGTGAGAGTGAGGGTGAGGAGGGATGTAGTTGTCAACTGGGAGAACTTCATCGTGGGATTTGTTATAAGCGAGATGTGATCTGTTCGAGTTGGGTTGTTGCGATGATGGATGGGAGGAGGTATCTTATATCTTTTGGCCGATTTCTTGAAATGGTATTATGTTGTCCTCTCTGGCCGGCCGAGTCCGTTCTTTGTTCGCTTTGAGGACGGATGACTCGGCGTTGTTCAATCTCAATAAGCTAAGAGCTTATTGAGACTCGAATGTGGATAGTGAAGGTCTGTCCGCAGGCCAATTGAGCCAGTAGGAGATTGAGGCTCGAATGTCTTTGTTGAACAAGGATACATACTCCAAGGGCTGATGGCTCGCATCCAACCATGAATGAAACACGCACACTCCCATACAAGCATCATCAGACCAGTACCCCCAACAGTGTGCTGTTCGATCTTCGCCCTCTACCCTCGTAACAAGCATTGATGCTCAAATAAAACTGTGCTAGCAGTCCACCTAAACCAAGCCCTCCTTATACTTGACAATCTCCGGCCAAATCTTCGCCCACCTCTCCAAGCTCTGTTCACACCAGACCTCCTCAACACCGGGATAAAACCCCGTAAACTGCGGTACCCCATCATCCAGCCTAACGAAGCTCCTCTTGCTTCGCGTATAAATATGAACATCCGGCCCAACTTTCCACGCCTCATCCAGTGTTCCCACACGAATGAATCGGCAAAACGGCCCCGCCCTGCCGTAGTTTGACCAAACTGCCACATGGCACTGGGGGCATCTTGCGATGTTCTGCCCCGTGCCAGATTCAGATGGGGTGAGGATCGATTCGGGCTCGACGACCTGGTCGTCGTCATACTGCGGTTGGCGGGCCTGGTTTTGCGTCGCGCTGGGCAGACGCAGACGCGGGGACGGTTGCTGGGGCTGGGGGAGAGAGTGACGAGGGTAGATTCGATGACTGCGTTCAGGGCAAATGCGGTGCCTGTTTCGCGCTGGCAGGAAGTGCAGTGGCAGCAATGGACGATAAGTGGGTGTGCTTCAATGCGGTACCGTACGAGGCCGCAGGCGCATCCGCCGTCCATTGGAAGCTTGGGATTCTCTGGTGTGTTGTTCTTCATTTTGGTTGCAGAGGAAGATGTGGAAGGCTCATGAGCAGTGTGCAAGGATTGGACTCATATTTATACCTGATCAGCCATCATCCAGCTGTGGGGCTCACATTCGGTGAGTTGACAGCTGCAGATTGACCGGACACGAGAATCGTTGCATTGAGCATTATTCTATATGTCATGGCTATCAAGCCGATACTCCAACGGCCCCTCCGACGCCGCAAGATTACACTGCCGGAACAAACGGACCTCGTCATCGGCAAACGCCCCGACAACAGAATGCAACACCCCGCGATTATGAAACAGGACCAGATCGCCCTCCTCCCAGTCATGCGCATAGACATACCGCGGGCTGATCGCCGGCCGCTGCAGGGCATACACAATCTCCCTCACCCTCCTCAAGTCATCAATCACCGTCCCATCCTTGAGATGGATCTTCCGCACCGCCGACGGATGGATCTGCAGCGCCGGCCGCCCCGTCACCGGGTTCCGCCAGACCATTGGCAACACCTGGATCTGGTCCTCCTCGATCGGCGGGAGCTCATCCAGCGGTACTTCGCGGTCCTCGGAGACCAGCCCCAGACCCGTCGGCAGGGACCGCGCGCCCGACATCCACACATACCTAAGTCAGTCAGCCGCCGTAACCCCCAGTTGAGGTAGAGGGAGGGACATACGGATGAGGGGCATATTCCACGCGACTCCCGCACACAAACTCCTTCTCCGCCGCCGACAGCCGCTCGTACATGGCCTCGCCGCTCACAAACGCCGTCGTGCCCAGCGGCACCGCCATCTCCTCGCCGGAGCCGTCGTCCCACCGCAGCGTCTGCGTGCGCCCGCGCGGCACCCGCACCGCCAGCAGGCTCGTCACCTTGGGCGGATGCATCGCCGCCCCGTACAGCGCCGCGTCGATGTGCCACCGGTAGAACCGCGTCACGGCGTGATCTTCGTGCGCGGGGACGTGGGTTGCGTGGAAGGTGCGGTGGTGCGGGTGTCTGAGCGTGAGGTTCTGCAGCCCCTCGTACGAGGCTATCGCGCCGTGTCCGATGACTTGGACCTGCGGCTGGTGCGGGATGGTCTTGAGGTCTGGGTGGAGGATTGAGCGTTTTGCGTCGATGGTGTTGCCGTGGCCGTAGGCGGTGGAGGTCGGGTCGAAGCGGTTGGTGAGCAGGTATTGGGCCTTTGGGGAGAGGTGCGACTGGTTCTTGATTATGAGGACGAGGTGGGTGTGCAGGGCTGTGGAGATGAGGTCGAAGTCTGCGGGGGTGAGGGGGTCGAGGGAGATGTCTGTGAGGA